AAAGCCCCCGAAAGACAAACGAGGCAGATGGCACCATCTGCTAACCTTCCTTTGGCAGTGCCAATGCTGCTGCTTGGGGCTGGGGTGAGCTAGAGGAAGAAGGAGCTGTCTTTATCTTGGTACCAAGGATGAGAGGCCCAGGGGCTGGAACTCCCTGCGACCCGTGCCACATTCAGCTGCAGTGTCTGGCACCCTCCAGAGGCAACCCATCTCTGCCCACTCCACCCCCTAGGGACCCTCATTCTCATGGCAGGCATCAGCTGTCTGGAATTCTGGCAACTGGGAACAGAGGGAACTCTTATTATGACAGAACACCACACAGTAAGAACCCTCTGTCTTTCTCCATCCTCGTTCTTGCAGGTTCTCTAAAAATTGGATCCATCATGAGCTTACAACATCCTGGGGGAAGGGCAGTGAGGAGAGGAGAGAACAACAAGCCGCTGCTGCCGCCACCACCATGCCACCTCCATGTCGGTTGCTTCCAGACATAGTACTAAACTCGTTACAGGCTTTATTTCATACATTCTCTTATTTAACCATCAAAAACAACCTTTCCTATTACCCTGTTCTTGTAACTAATTAATCCTTTGCATAATAATTTGTCCTCTCCAGCCATGAGCTCTGGGAGGACAGGAACTCTGCTTGCACGCTCCTGTGTCTTCAGTGCCCAACCTGCGCCTGGCACTTAGCAAAGGAAAAGTTTGCTTTTGCCTGAATACCTCACTATAGCACGATTAGACAGATTGTTACCTCATTTTCTGATGAGGACCCCAAGGCTCACACAACTAATAAGAAGCTTGCCCGAGGACACACAATTAACTACAGTAGGACCAACCTAAACCAGGCCCGCGCCTCTCACCAAACCATTCGGTCTTCCATCCATCCAGTGAGGAAAAAGGGAAACTGAGGTCCAGAGGAAGGAGGAGTGGGACGCTACCCGCGACCTGACACCCAGCCTACAGAGAGGCTGGGGAGCCAGAAGCTCTGAGCCTTGGAGCAGTGCCCACCCTGTAAAATATTAACCCCAGAACTGGGGGGAAACCCAAACAAATGCCCTATTGACAGAGGCTGGAAGCTTTCCAGGAGGGAGCAGATCACAGGCCAGAGATTGGGGGCAGGAGACTGCTATGAGGGGAGTCGGGACAAGCTCTAGGAGTTTCCCAGGGGCAGAGGTGCAAGTGAGCATCAGAGGTCATCCCACGAAGGTGCCTGACCTGAAGAGCCTGCAGAGACTAAACCCACGGGTACATTATGTCAGGAAGAGGCAGGAACAGAATGAGGGAAGAGCGCACATCACTACTTGGTGCGTGCTGGTGCCACCTGGAGGCAGAAAGGCCTCGGGATGCTGGGTAGACTATGAGTCAGACAGCCTGGGTTCTCTTCTTGCAAGCTTAATAATAATCATACCCATACTGAGTACGAGGTATGTATGGAGAACTGTGCAAAGTATCTGAAATGCATTAACTCACTGGATTCTCTCAACAATCACATGAGGCATGGGGTTATTATAATCTACAACTTACAGATGAGGCTAAATAATTTGCCATGGACGTATGCATATGTACATGGGTATATATGTTTATACAGCTATACATATGTGTATTTATTAGTTTAATATGTAGTGTTACGAGCTTCACATGCATATTCTCATTTAAACCGCATATTACCTATGAGGGCCGTATTATCACTTTGTTTTCCAGATGAAGAAACTAGGGTTTAGAGATGTACAACCGTTTGCCCAAGGTGCCCCATAAGTGCCTGACTCTAACGCTCGGGCTCTCTACCAGTAGGCTATGGGCAGAAATCTTTTCTCCAAACCTCAGCCTTCCCTTCTGTAGCTCCACATCTCCCTTACAACTATGAGTGTTCTTGAGCACTAAGCTATTGCCGTAAACATATATCACTTTTTTGCCACAAGTCTGGAAGCTTTCCGAGGGCAAGGACCCTGTGTGAGCCCCAGGTCTCCCTGACACAGTAAGCATGACTGGTTAGTTGTAGGTGAAGGAGCCTCAGCTCTGTGAGGTCTCCAGCCAGTATTTATCAGCCTCAATGTTCATCAAAGTCCTTGTGTGTCAATGCGAACAGTAGCTATCTCATCAGGTTGTAGAGAAGATGCCATAAAATAATGGCAGAAAAGTGGCAACCAATTATTACAAAGAAGAATGCTATTCCAAGACTAATGTTCAGAGAGACTCTTCCGCTCATTTCTGAAGCTGGAAAATCAGCTTCAGTGATTGAACCAGATGTAGGACTTTGGTCCCAAAAGAGATGACCCAACAGTGGTCTCTAAACCCATACTGCAGAAGCCAAGAACAGCTGAGGTACTGAAGCCAAGAAAAGAACCGTGGTGCCAGAACAGCTCTCTGTCTAGTGGCCCCCAACAATGTGTCGGCAGAATCCTAGTGGTGGTAATGATAACAAGAACTGTTCTTTCCCTTTGTAGAGAGATTTAGATCACAAGAAATTCTTTCATAATCAGTATCTCATTTTGTCCTCCTACTATCCTTCGGAGTTAGCATGGGGAAGGCCATTATTCTCAGTGTACAGACAGGAAAACGGAGGACAAGAGAGGAGATGAGACTTGCCCAAGGTCACACAGTGAGACAGCAGCAGAGCTGGGCTTGAACCCACGCCCCCAGATGGCTAGTCGAGGGTTCTAGCCTCACAGCCTGCTCTAACATAATGGTTCTCTCATTTTCAAATCCTCTGACCCAGCTGCTCTGCTCAGCCTATAGCCAGGCCTGAGTGATGCAGTCTAGGCTTGGGGGGTGAGGAGGGAGATCAACCACTGTTCTGCTCCGCATAGGGCAGGCTGCAAAATCTCAGCCTCTGTGGGGCACTTCCAAGATCAATGGTCTCCACCAGCAGATTAGCCACACCATTGCTGCCCCCCACATCTAGGCCCAATGTACACTGCCCTTGTCTCCAAATCACGTTTATTTCAACACCATCATTTTGTCTACTTTATGCGGCAGAATGGGGATTTACTAGGCTCTACAAAAAAAAGAAAAGTCCCCATCACCTTCCACTGGCATCAAAAAAGCCAAGACCAAGCTACCATCCTCCCTGGGGAATATGCAACCACTCTGTTATCACCGAGGGGTATCAGGAAGTTTCTATTTTGTATCCCTCACTATTCCCCAAAATTCTACTAGCTCAGGGAGATAGCCAGAGCTAGTGATACCACCAGCTGGTGTTAAAAAGAAAGGCTCTGAGGCAGATACACATGTAAACAGTTCATCATCATTGTTATCATCATCTTGACCACTACGTATAGAGTACTTACTATGTGCCAAACACTGCACTAAGTACGTCAGTGCGTGATCTCATTTAACCCAACAGCCCTATTTTACAGATGAGGAGCCTGAGGTGAAGAAAGTTCCCTTGCCCAAGCTCCCATAACCAGGAAGCAGAGACATGACCCGATTGAATCATAGTGCTCTACAGCCATCCTTTCCATCAATGGTCATTACAAAGTTGGAAAAAGGGTACTTACAACACAAAGCCAGAGCACAATGGCCATCTGTCATCTAAAACAAATCTACATTTTCTTCAACCACTGGTCACTTCAGCTAGTATAGCTCTGAAATGGTGTCCCATTAGACACCCCATGACCCTGCATCACACGGATAGCTCCTGACATCCCCACCATTATTTGGCCTCCACTGTTCTCTGACCTTGCCAACCACTCTTCCCCTCCTTCATCCCGATCTAGCCCCACTGTCTTCTTGCTGTTTTATATACTACTACCTCAGGACCTTTGCATTGGCTGTACCCCCTGGCCAGAATGCTCCATCGGGAGAGTGCTGCATGGCTCACTCCTTCATTTCCTTTAGGTCTCTGGTTAAGTATCACCTTATTAGGGAGATCTTCCCTGACCATCCTCTATAAAAAGGCAACCTCTACTCTCTGGCCCTCCCCATGGCCCTTCCCTACTTTATTTTTCTCCATAGCACTTATTACCACCTAATATATGTTTATTATTTGCTGAATGAATGAATGAGCTAAAGCAGAGCGGCCCCTCACCCCTGGCAACCACCTCCTGCTCTATGTGAGGCCTCCTGTGACCATTTTCAAAGCTGTCTTCCATGCTCATTCTAATCAGTTTGAACCCTGAAGAGAAACACTCTGTGGGAAAGATCATATGGAGTGATTTTCCTGATGTGTGAAGCACACTCCACCCCCCACCCCAACAAAAATAATAAAACCCAAATGCACTGACAGGCATAGGGAAAGATTGGAAATCTTGGTCTCCTTTGGCCTAAGGGCAGACAAGTCAAGTTCCACTCACAGAGCTGGAGTGGCCAGAAAAGGCAGTTTCGCTTTCAACTCACCTATCTGGCTCCCGTGGCCCTCAGGTTGCAACCTTACCCCATCCCTTTCCCATTCCGTTGGATATCCTTACATCCTGTCATCACTTTTAGGAGCTGATCCAGAATCCCAGCCGTCCCTGAGCTTTTAAGCGCTGCTCTGGGGGGAACTTAAGCTCGTCCAACAGGTAGGAGTAGCAGAGGCTGGCCCTTTCAGCCCTACATCAATCCCCCATCTTGGAGGGGCATCCGCCAGGGCGTCATTTTCTTTCTGGAGGAAGGGACCTCAGTTATAAAGGCACGTTTCTCAAACCTGGCGGCAGGGGTAGAGAAGGGAGCTCTCCCACCGTTTGCCAAGATGGATGTATGCAAGCGGCTGCAGCGGCGATGCTGAGGCCCCGGAGGCAGGAGGGAAGAGGGGAGTACTCGAGTACATGCCTTGGCTAGGACCTACCCGGGGATGGGGCTGCCTTCAGCGTTGGGGAACAAACGGGATGCTTCTTCGGCGAGGAGAAGCGGAGGATGCGGCCCGTGAGAATCCGGGGTCAGAGCCTCTCGTGAGGCAGGGGATCTCTTCAGGCTAGGGCCGGGGTCCGGGGTAGGCAGGGGTCGGCAGGGCGGGGCTTGGGATCGCGGGGACTGGAGCCCCGGGCGGGAGGGCGTCGCGGCGGGGGACCCCGTGGCCGTTACCTTGCCCCTAGGGCTGCCTCCGGGGCTGAAGGCCGCCGGGTGCTGGCTCCGGGGCCCAGCCCCTCCCCCGATCCGGCTCCTACGACTCGGAGCCTGCAGCCACCGCCGCCTCCGCTGTCAACAAACCCCGGGCGCGTCACTTCCGGGGCCACCCCTTAGCAACAGCGGTCGGGTTCCGTCGACAGGTCCGGGGCGAACGCGGGTGGCGTTGGTAGGAGGTTCCGGGGTGCCGCGGGCCGCTCTTTTCTGGGAGACAACCTGGTCTCGGGGTGAAAGAGGGGGTAGATTGGGCCCCCACCCCGGCCCAGAGCACCTGTTCTGCAGTAGCCTCTCCTTGGTCTTTGAGGGGTCCGCTAGAGGGACATCCAAATTCGGTTCCCTCTCTGATCCTGCCGTTAATCTGAGCCCAGGCAGTGGTTAAGAGTAGGACTGACTCCACATTTCATCGTCAACCCAGACCTCCCTTTTAGCGCCAGCCCCTACCTCCAGCAGCCTATAGAAGAACATCTTTTGGATGCTCCACAGGTGTCTCACACACAAGTCAAAAACATGGTCATCATCTTCCCCCAAAACCTGCGCCTACATCTCCACCTCAGTCAATGGGCCACCAGCTGCACCTGGGCTGTCAGACAGAAAACTGGGAGATGGCCTTGGCCCCGGCATTTCTCTCAAGCCCTCTTCCAGTATCTGAGTCCTAAGGATCCTTCTCTCCACTCGCTGCAATGCCCAACTTCCGCCCACCACCATTTCATGTCTGAATTTCTGCAACAGCGTCCTAATATAACACTTTGCTCCTTCCGCTCTTTATCTCTGCAGCCCCAGAGTGATTTTTCCAAAAGTATAAATTTGACCAGGGCACCTTCCCACACCTCTGCTTACAACCCTGAATTTAGAGGACAAGGACTTTAATGATCTGCCCTGTTTCCCTCTCCAGCCTCTTGTCTATTTCCCCTTTCCCCTTTTTCCCTTTCCATTCTCCAATCCAGACAGCTTGTGGGACAAAGAACAAGATTTGGCCTTTTTTTATCTGGTTTCTGAAAATAGCCTGAGCAATTAGGGTGCTCTTTGTCTTTCTAAATTAGCCAGGCAAGTAGGAGCCACACGAGCCCTACACCTGGCAACTAACTTCAGGAAGGGAGGGGGTATGATGCAGTCATCATGCATACTCATTATTATATTGATCACAACTACATGTTAAGGATTAGTCATGCATATTCATTGAGGTCCCAATGAATAGAGGACTCTGGACCCTTGAGCTCTCTGGGGCTTCTGGGATTGGTGAGAACATTCTTGCAGGGCAGAGGGTGTGGCAAGTTCCTGGGGACAATGGAAGCCTCTTGCCAGGACCTCACCCATTCCTTGCCTGATGAGTCTCTTCACGTGTATCTTTTCTGGTTACAATAAATGGGTAACTGTAAGTATACATAATAGTCTCTGTGAATTTTATGAGCCTTTCTAAAGAAGTATCTAACCCACAGGGGTAATGAGCCAGCAGGAGCTGGCAGCATGGAGTCAGTTTTTGTGCAGATCCAACTCTGGATGGCTGGGTTATAGGGAAAAGCTGCATGGGCATTTGATGAAGAAGGATAGAGTCCTTCCAGCTTGTGATCTAGCCCCGGAGAGAGAGAGAAGCCAGCTGGTCTGAAATGCAGGGAATTGTGCAGACTCCTGAGCGCCTATGGCTGCTCTCCAATGACCTGGCCTCAGGTGGCCAGGGATGTTTTGATCCAGCTCAGGATAGCTGGGAATGAGGACTGACCTAACTCTGGGTGGTTAGGATCTAAGAGAGAGTTTTTGCCATGGAAGTGGGTAGCAACAAGGAATGGAAATGTGGGAAGGTAAAGCTTGGATTCACTTCCAGGTGGGAATTAGATTCATGCTAATAGTGATAAAGGTGAGGTTTGCCCATCTTGCCCCTTTTATAGTGCAGTTTTTAGTGTCATCCTTGCACAGCTTAATGAAATTTGTGGTGTTTTAACGATCCTTTTCTCTCACATGAACCAAACCCAAACCAAAGCCATTACTGTTGAGTCAGTTCCGACTCATAGTGACCCTATAGGACAGGGTAGAACTGCCCCATAGGGTTTCCAAGGCTGTAAATCTTTACAGAAGCAGACTGCCACATCTTTCTCCCCCAGAGCTGCTGGTGGATTCGAACTGTAGACCTTTAGGTTAGCAGCAGAGTGCTTTAAGCACTGTGCCACCAAGGTTAATTTCCCACCTAAACCCTCTTTTTGCTCCCATCTATATCCAGCATACTCCTCCATCTTCTGGTCTCAGTTTAGATACTACTTTCTTTAGAAACTGTTTGTTATGGACTGAATTGTGCCCCCCCAAAATATGTGCTGTAAATCCTAACCACTATGCCTATGGTTATAATCCCATTTGGGAATAGGTTGTCTTTGTTATGTTAATGAGGCAGGATTAGTGTAGGGTATATCTTGAGTCAATCTCTTTTGAAATATAAGAGATTAAACAAGGGAGAGAAGCAAAGATAGGGGAAGAGAGACGCCAAGCCACATGAAGATTGCCCAGGAGCAGAAGCTCAGAAGAGACAAGGAAGTTCCTCCAGAGCGCACAGAGAGAGAAAGCCTTCCGCTAGAGCCAGCACCCTGAATTCGGATGTCTAGCCTTCTAAACTGTGAAAAAATAAATTTTGGTTTGTTAAAGCCACCCACTTGTGGTATTTCTGTTATAGCAGCACTAGACAACTAAGAGACCCTTTTTTGTCATGATCCCAACCCCATTCTAATAACTAGAGTTTTTTTTTTTTGGTCTGGGGGAGAGGTTGCATAGTATCTTTTAGTCTTTGACCATGTACAACTATGTTCATACACTTCTAAATACTTTAGAAATTCTATTGATAATTTGAAATTACCAAACTAAGACAGGCTTGTAAAAAAAAAAAAAAATCCCGAATAATACTGAAATATTTGGAGGAAATGGAAAGACAGCTTGTGTTCACAGACTGGAGACTTAATATTGTTAAGATGACAATACTACCCAAAGCAATCTACAGATTCAATGCAATCTCTATCAAAATCTCAGAGGCGTTTTTTTTTTTTGTTTTCAGAAACAAACAAACAAAAAATCCATCCTAAAATTCGTATGGAATTTAATGGACCCTGAGCAACTAAAAAAATCTGGAAGAAGAACAAAGTTGGAGGATCCAACTTCCCGATTTCAAAACTTACTACAAACCTACAGTAATAAAAAACGGTGTAGTACTGGTATAAGGATAGACATGCAGACCAGTGGAAGAGAACTGAGAGCTCAGAATTAAACCCTCACATCTATGGTCAGTTGATTTTCCACAAGGGTGCCAAGACCATTCAATGGGGGAAAGAACAGTCTTTTCAACAAATGGTGCTGGGAAAACTGAATATTCACATGCAAAAGAATGAAGCTGGATCCTTACCTTACACCATGTACAAAAAGTAACTAAAAATGGATTAAAGACCTAAATTAAGATATAAAACTCTTGGAAGAAAGCACAGGGGCAAATCTTTGTGATCTTGGATTTGGCAATGGTTTCTTAACTATTGAAGCCCTGGTGGCGCAGTGGTTAAGAGGTCGGCAGTTCTGAGACCAGAAGAACTAGGTGGTGACCGGCTACCACCTATGACCACCCTGACAGGGAAAACAACAGAGAGTCCCTGATGGAGCAGGAGAAAGGCAGGGTGCAGAAATCAAAGTCTAGTAAAAAGACCAGACTTAATGGTCTGACTGAAACTGGAAGAACCCCAGAAAGCACGTCCCCCAGACTCTCGGTCAACCCAGAACTGAAACAATTCCCGAGGCCAACTCTTCAGACAAAGATTAAACTGGACTGTGGGACATAAAATGATATTCATGAAGAGTGTGCTTCTTAGCTCAAGTAGATACCTGAGACTAAATGAGCAGCTTCTGTCTGGAGGTGAGATGAGAAGGCAGAGAGGGTCAGGAGCTGGTTGAATGGATATGGAAAATCGGGTGGAAAGGAGGAGTGTGCTGTCACAGTATAGGGAGAGCAATTAGGGTCACATAACAATGTATGAGAGACTAACTTGAAATGTAAACTTTCACTTAAACCACAACAATAAACAAAACAAAAGAAAGAGCTCGGCAGTTCAAATCCACTAGTTGCTCCTGGGAAACCCTATGGGGCAGTTCTACTCTGTCCTATAAGGCTGCTATGAGTTGGAATTGACTCAATGGCAACAGGGTTTTTGTTTGTTTGTTTGTTTTCGTTTCCTTAAATATTATGACCTCGAAAACATAAGCAACAAAAGACAAAATAGATAAATGGAACCTCATCACAATTAAAAACTTTTGTGCATCAAAAGACACTATCAAAAAAGTGAAAAAACAACACACAAAATGGGAGAAAGTATTTGCAACCATATGTCTGATAAGAATTTAATATCCAAAATATTTAAAAAAAAAACCTCTTGCAACTCAACAACAAAAAGACAAACAACTAAACTTAAAAATGGGCAAAGGAGACCTCAGAACCTACTATACAGCTACAGTAGTCAAAACAGCCTGGTACTGGTACAATGACAGACACACTGACCAATGGAACAGAATTGAGAACTTAGATGTAAATCCATCCACCTACAGTCACCTGATCTTCAACAAAGGCCCACATCAAATGGGGAAAAGACAGTCTTTTTAACAAATGGTCCTGGCAAAACTGGATGTCCATCTGCAAAAAAATAAAACAGGACACATACCTCACACCATACACAAAAACTAATTCAAAATGGATCAAAGACCTAAATATAAAATCGAAAACTATAAAGATCATAGAAGAAAAAATAGTCAATACTAGAGGCCCTAATACATGGCATAAACAGGATACAAGCCATAACTAACAATACACAAACACCAGAAGATAAGCTAGATAACTGGGAGCTTCTAAAAATTAAACACTTATGCTCATCAAAAGACTTCACCAGAAGAGTAAAAAAAGAGTATACAGATTGGGAAAAAAATTTTGGCTATGACAAATCTGACAAAGACCTAACCTCTAAAATCTATAGGAAAACCCAGCATCTGTATGACAAAAAGACAAATAATCCAGTTAAAAAATGGGCAAAGGATATGAACAGGCACTTACCCAAAGAAGATATTCAG